TTCTCGGGCTGTCAGGCTGAACCGTCGGCGGGGCCTGTAAGCCTTGGATATCAGGCTTAAAGCCCGAAATTCAGGTTTTTGGCCTGAACGACGTTGGGCCTGCAAAATGGCCCGTGTGTGCATGTGCAGCATGTAACAAGGGATGTCGGAAGTGGTGAGGGAGGGAGAGTGCGAGAGATTGTGAGAAGAAGGAAGGGAACAAGAGTCAGCGAGGACATAGGGAAAGACGAGAGGGAAAAGAGTGGAAGAGGGGAGGGTGGTAGGGAAAGAGGGGAGGGTGGAAGGGCCAGAGGGTGGGAAGGTGGAAAGGACCGAGTGAGGGTGGGAAGGTGGAAGGGACCGAGTGAGGTAGAAAGAAAGAAGAGGGAAAGAAGTGGGAAGGACCAGAGAGGGAAAAGTGCGGAACGAAAGGAGGATGTTACGATCCTGGCTACTTCCGAAAGAAAGAAGAAAGGAAGAAGAAAGGAAGAAAGAAGAAAGAAAGTAGAAAGAAAGAAGAAGAAGAAGATGTACAGCAGCAAGACCAATGACAAATCCCCCTTCTTTCTTCACTCTTGTCCTCCTGCTTATCTCTGCCAATTTTATTCTTCATTCATCCAATAACAATAATGGCAATGGATGGTTGAGCCGGAACCAATATCCAAAGTTCCCTCTTACTGCCAGCACAACAAGAGGCCCACCATGGCCATGGCCTCCCTCTTCTTCCACTTCAAACAGCCCTAGGCTCTAAGGACCAACTCAAAAGCAGCGATGCCCACTGCTGTTCAAGCCGCCATGCCCGACTCTGCCTTGAAGCCTTCTTGTGCAGTGCTACCCCAACTAGTGCCTTCCAGATAGAGTGCCTAACAAGGTGATGAAGATGGTGCCCCCCATAGCCAGGTAGGTACCCCGCCACTCTCCTCCTCCGCCCCCTTCTTCCTCCTCCTCAAGCTGGGCTACTCGCTATAGCCAGGCAGAGTGGCCAGTTCTTCTTCTTCCTCCCCAGCAGCGCTCTGAGAACCAGCGCCCGCTCAAGCAGCATGATGCCCAAACTTGCATACCACAAATGAGGAGCTACTCGCTCTTTCAGAAGATATAGCTGCCAACCAGCCTCACAGCTGGTGACTTCCAGGCCACGCGGCCTCCAAGCAACCGGTTCGTCTCCCTTTCGAAGGCGAACATCATTGCAGGCTCTCATATCATCCGCACAGACTGTGACGGGGCTAAGGCAGAGCAGAGAGGTCGGGGAAGAGAGAGGGAGGGAGTAAGAGCACACACACACACACTCAACTCGACACGGACTCGACATGACTTGACAGACGCAGACACAAAGTGGCAAAGTGGCAAAGTCGCAAAGTCACAATCTTGGGTTCCGAACACAATGTTGCAGCAAGTCACACTGAAGCACAAGCACTGAGGCTGAAAACTGAGTGCCCAAACTCAGCTCGAGTCCGGTCTTAAGTACCAGACTCCAGCTGAGTCCCGAGGGCAGAAGTGCAATTTGCGTCGGGGTTGAACTGAAAATTGAAGGTCTGAGTCTGGGCTCCAGAATGCCGGATGGCACCAAGTATCGAAATCCGAAATTGCCAGAGGAGGGATTTGAGAAGGGGCGCAAACTGCAGAGGGCGCTAACAGTCAGGAACTGGAGATCAGAGACTCAAAATAAAATAGCAGTCTGGCGGGTGGTAACCCGCAGACCAGGGATCAAGCCCTGGCTGAGTCCGTAACACTATCCCCTCCCTCTGGAAGGCGACGTCCCGGCTGCCAAAGACCCAATCAACAACTGTGAAGGACGGGACGGGGGCGATCACTGGTCAGAGAAGGAAAGGGGGAGCAATGCAAGTAGCAGGGTAATCTTATGGAGGTTCTACAGGGATGAGGGAATCAATGATCAAGTAACAGGGTAATCCTATTGAGGTTCTACAAGGGTGAGGGTGGCAATGTTCAGGTAACAGGGTAATCCTATTGAGGTTCTACAAGTAACAGGGCAGTCCTATTGGTGTTCTACAAGGTTATAGGTTGTTAGGTTTTAGGGGG